CATGTATTATGGAGAATGTCCTAGTCAAGTTGCAAAGGCACTTTTCCCGCTAAGTCAGCAGCGACTAATTCGTCCAAAGGCGGCAGAACAGCGGAGAAGCCAAAAATCCGAAAATGGGATCCGCTGAATGCACAGCCGGGTTTGATGGCAGGGGGGTTGCATCGGTAGGTCATATTAATGAATTGAATAGATCCTTTTGGAATCGTTATAGTTCTTTATATATATATATATATTTCTTTATATCCATGTCAGAGTGTCAATCTAGGTGCTCACCAGAAACACATGAAGGGCCAACTGTGTCCTGTCCATTTGTGTTGTTTTCTTCGCTTCTTGAAGAGCCTGCCCCAATGTTTATTCATGTGAATGTGGGTCGAGATACCGCGCATGCGGTCAGAACTGCATTGGGACATCTTCATTTCAACTTACGTTAACTTTTTGTATTTTGTGGTGGACAGGGGGGCGCATGAGTACAGAACACCAAAGCAACCTGGAACACGCACGTTGTTACACTGTTGCCAAATGTGGAATAATATACCCTAGGGCTCCAACTACCTGGGTGGGCTTGGGGGGGTCTAACCACCTTCTGAGGATATGGTTGGAGCCCGGAGCCCTAGGGATATGTAATATATTTAATATCCTCCATCTCGTGAGGGTCAATCAGATGTTGTCTCAAATGTGGAACAGGTTTGGAAGCTGGGCGTTCGCTGATCCATTGGTGGACGTTGCTGGACGTTCTTTTGTTCGCTTCCGGGCTTTTGGACCGTTCGGGCAGCTGCGGCAGCTATGTTACCCTCCCATTTGGATTGAACAACTCTTCATAGCGGGGTTCTACATGAAGGATGGCCCCCCACAGTTGAAGATGACCATCACTTGCAGAATCTTGCAGATATAGAACAAAAGTAGAGAGGCTTCACAAGGTAAATTGCCTTCATTTGGCTCACAAATCAGGTGCACCAATCACCCACCGGCGGCTTTAGACAGACACCGGAGCAGAAGCAGATCTTGAATCCAATGTTGAGGAGGGCCAGCCATGTACCCGAGCACAACATGTATGGAATATGTATATACAGTATATACACCTACATTGACCCCTAAACCACATTGAAGTAGGTAAAATTTTCCATACATGGAGTGTTTGCGATACGTTTGTGTCATGTTCCGTTTTTTTCTTTGATTTCCGCTGTTGCTTGTGCCATGTCTTTTCAGAGTTGGCGGCTCAAGGGCTCAACGGAAATAATTGGTTTTCAGTGAACAACTCCTGATCAATCGATGATGGTTTGCTGCAAAGTTTTCACTCACTTTTGGATCTTCAGATTTGACCAGCACTCATGTGGCCTCACCCGTTTCAAGCCCTCAGTTCACACCTACACAATGAATACACTGCTTTGGTTCTTTATGGTTAAGCCAATCCAACAGCTGCATGTCGATCCGGAATTGGTCGATCCGAGATCATGGTCCAGGTGACGTGTTTTGACTTGTGAGAGACATTGGATATCATTCGATTGAAGCCAGGCGGTGCTTGTAGCAGTCTGTGGGGGGTATGCCGGGTATGCAATCCCATTGGTTTCAATCCAATCCAATCCTCTTGGACGAGCTGTTTTGGGGTTCAACCCCCACGTTTGGTGCAGTGAAACCCGACTCAGTCTACCCGCCGTGGGACCGTGGGGAGTTGGGGCCAAACCATTTGAGGAATCGATCCGGGGTAACAAAGGTGGGATTTGGGGTGTTGCCAAACCTGTGGGATTTGAGCAACCAAGGCAACAAAGGTGTAACAAAGTATACAAGGAACATCAAGGACGCAACATGTCCAAGTCTATCGTTGCTGTTATGAAGGATTAAGCAGTGGTGTTGGAGGATTGTGTCTCCACTTTCTCCACGAATGAAAGGAGACGAACGAAGGATGTGGAGGGAATAGATGAGGCGTTTTGGAGAGTCATGAAGATGTGCAGGGCAGGAAGATGAGACCGGTGGCATGGAGTTCTTGCAAGAAGGCCTTCTATTCCTTCCTGTGGTGTGATAGCTCCGGAAGTTGAATATCTTTTGGTGTGCTAGAGGAATGTTTCTTTGTTTTTTCAATTGAGTTGATCTTTTTTCCTTGGTTCATTCTTGCAGACGAGGCTCAAGCCTGTGACAGTGACAGCGAATGATTTCCCCACTACCCCGCTCAAGACATGGTCAAATTGAACCATTTGGCACCAACACACGGGTGAACCCATCGACTTTTCTCAACAAAACTTGCAGACTCGTAGCCAAGGTCTTTGGTATAAGCAATGTTCAGCTTGCCCATCCCATGACATACCCGATCAAAGACATGCCTGGACCGGGCTCTTGCCATCTTGGTGTATTCGTCCGGCCTAAGAAGACCCCAGCTTCAAGCACTGTAGACCATCCGGGGTCCAAATCCCCAGTCCTTCTCCCACAACAATCGATTTGACCAGGTCCGGCTTTTGGTCAAGCCCGGTGCGGGGTGATGGATCAGCATACATCAGGGTCAGCCTTCCAGCGTCCTGAGGAACCATTGGGCTTTTCTCGCCCTGGTCGCTTTATTGATGGGTGGGATAACCTAAGTGTACAATAAAACCAAGTAACACATATATATATATATATTGTGATATATATTGTACCAAACTGACCCTTCTATTTTGCCCAAAAGGACAGCATTGTGAGGAAACTTGTGCCACCGGCCGAAAAGGCCATGGCTGCTTTGAGCTGTGCCATGCGAGTGCCGGCGCGAATGCCGGCGCTGGCGTGCTTGGCCGGCTGCGGCGGTGAAAGAAGTTTCTCCAGCAAAGGACTGGTGAAACCCGGTGATGGATGTTTTCCCTGGTTCGTCCCCTTCGGAAACCCTGACAGATGTATAAATTATAGATATATTTCTGTCATCAATAATTGATCAATATATTGTATAATTTTGCATACACGAAGTGTAATTCTTGTATACGAATACGTAGATAAAGCCCTATATACCCAGTGATTCCTCGACTATACCAAGCATAGCCCTATGGAAGCATAGGGTAGTAATGGGTAGTATATGTACATATAAATCACCGGGATAAGATTCCTTTCATTGGTTCCCGGATGAAAGAACACTGGCGCTCATCCCAGATCCGTCCTTGCAGGATACAAGATCAGGAGAGCCACTTGGATGATACCCCGGAGGATCACCCGAAAGTCCCAGATGCGTCGGTTCGCGCCGGTTCGCTGAAAGCGCCCCCCTTTTGGGGGGGAACAGCGAGATTAGTCTTGCTCAGCTATGGCCTCCCTACGTCTCACCATGTTGGTTCTCCTTTGTTAGCAGCTATAGGCTATAGCTGTGTGTGAGGCCTCTCGTATTGTTCACCTTCTTCGCAGTATGTAGGCCCCGGAGCCGTCCCGAAGCATTCCCCGCCTCCCATGTCAGTGAGCTCGCGCACGGGCGCGTTGGCTTTTCTGAGGTGAGATATCCATGGAAGACTGAACTTCAAAAGGAGACCTGGAAGTTCCTGAAGCCTCCCGGAGCCAAGCCCCAACGAACACGTGGTCTTTGGGACGGGTTTGGCGTTCGAGTCGTCCCGCTTGGTCGGGTTCACGTGGAGGAAGCGAGCGGTACAGCTCGCTTCCGCACTCCGAGTCCGAGAACAAGAGCGGTTGATGCAGCTCCCGCCTGATGGTCCTATAGTTGCTCAATGTGGACCGCCAAAAGCAATTCTTGAATTGGAGTTGACGACAGGAGAGGTTGGTTCCAAGGTAGATAGAGAAGCAATGCTTGGAAACGGGGATTGTTCATTTTTCTTTTCCGTCTCTCTCTCTCTCTCTCACCCAATCTTGCATTTTTGGATCTATTGTTCTCCGACCAAAGCAAATTGATCAACACGTGCCTGGTTGACAGGCTGCTCGAGGTTGGCATCTTCCGATAAAGCTGGAGCAGCCAAAGAAGGGGGTGCTGCCTAATATGCTGCCGTCTTGAGCAATCCAATTGGTTAAAAGAATTTGTTGATACAACCACCGCCTCTTATATGTTGAAAAGTTAAACCTGATATTCTAATCATTATGGTATTCCAACATTCCATTCTTTGCACCATTTGGGAAAAAGATAAAGTAATATGGTTGGGCTCTCCACCGACCTGACGTGGATTTGCAAGTCATGGAGTGGAAGGTGTTTGGTTTGGGTCGAATCATTGTGTTTCTTTGTGGTAGATTCCTCATCCACTTTGAACGTTAACTTGTTGGCTGACAAGTTTGCTAAGGCAAGAGCTGCAAAACATGGATTTCAATGCAGATGCATTTGGCACAACCCTCCAGCTTTGTTCAATTAAGCTCTTATACAATGCCACATGCAGGTGTGATGGCCTTGTTGATGCAGGTACATTCATATACATTCACAGTCCGCCTCGACATATACAGTATATGTTTCAAAAAAAAAAACATAGTATAACAATCCAGTGGCCCTCAAAACCATCAAACACACATATATATATATATAGGTGTTCACATACAAAGACCATGTTTTTTCCTAGGGAAAACCAGGTGATTGATGGTTTCCCTTGGATACATCCAGACCTCCAACAAGGCCATCATGGCCGAATGGCCGGAACAAAACACAGGTCACTCCTAACGGACGAACTGCGTAGAACACATGGAAGTGGTCAACCCGGATCTCGTCCGTCCGTCCAAGGAGGCCGAGTCCGTTGGTTCTGTGGTTCGGCTGACCCCCCTGTTTAACCCGTAGCACCAAAGGGACGAAGAGTCTAAGGGGTCATGCCATCCACCTCATGGTGATGTCCAGATGTGACAAGACGGTCGTGTTGTCGTTGTTGTGATAGCGTGTGCAAAAAGGTGGATCTGAAGACACTGGGACTGCAACTGACCTGGTCAGGTTTGTAGGACGACCTGTAAGTTCCACGTTTTGTCAGACATGGTGAAGCAGCTACGCTCCTCTAAGACTCTAAGACAGCCTTTACACGGTCTCCTACGTACTCCTGCGACTGCCATGGTCTCCTAAGTCCTGAGCATGATCCGGGATGCTGAGGCAAGACATGATCTCTTACTTTCAAAATGCGCCCGAACGGGACTCCACGGTCTACATCCGTGCTGAGCCCTGGCCTAAGTTCACCATGAAGGACCCCCTGTTTGGATCGCGCACGACGGATAGGATGGAACGTGGGAGGGGGAAGTGGGGATTACCAGTTTGCAGAGGTGTACGCCGTTGTTTCATGTTGTTTTTTCTTGCTTCCTTCCTTCCTTCCTTCCTTGCTTGCTTGCTTGCTTGCTTGTTTGTTTGTTTGTTTGCGTTTGTTTGTTTTGTTTGTTTGTTTGTTTGTTTGTGTGTTTGTTTGTTTGTTTGTTTGTTTGTTTTGTTTGTGTGTGTGTGGGGTTGGTTGTTTGGTTGTTTGTTTGCTTGCTTGCTTGTTTGTTTGTTTGTTTATTTATTTATCTATTTTTCCTTTGTTTGTTTGTTTGTTTGTGTTTGTTTGTTTGTTTGTTTTGTTTGTTTGTTTGTTTGCTTGCTTGCTTGCTTGTTTGTTTGTTTGTTTGTGTTGTGTGTGTGTGTTTGTTTGTTTGTTTGTTTGGTTGGTTGTTTGGTTGTTTGTTTGCTTGTTTGTGTTTTTTTTATTATTTTACTTATTTCTTTCTTTGTTGGTTTGTTTGTGTTTGTTTGTTTGTGTTTGGTTGTTTGTTTTGTTTGTTTTTGTGTTTTGTTTGCTTGCTTGCTTGCTTGTTTGCTTGCTTGCTTGCTTGCTTGTTTGTTTGTTTGTTTGTTTGTTTGTGTGTGTGTTTGTTTTTTTTGTTTGGTTGGTTGGTTGTTTGGTTGTTTGTTTGCTTGTTTGCTTGTTTGTGTGTTTATTTATTTATTTATTTGTTTGTTTGTTTGTGTTTGTTTGTTTGCGTTTGTTTGTTTGTTTTGTTTGTTTGTGTGTTTTGTTTGTTTGCTTGCTTGCTTGCTTGCTTGCTAGTTTGTTTGTTTGTTTGTTTGTTTGTTTGTTTGTGTTGTGTGCGTGGTTTGGCCTTTGAACATATTTTTTAAAATGAGTCAGTGGTTTATTTGCATGGTTGAGTCCAAGATCCGGCTAAGAAGTTAAGACGAGTTAATTTGAAGCTGTTGGAAGCCAGGAGATCGACTGAATCACCTGTGGTGGAGTTCTTGTTTGTTTTTTTTTGGTACGGGAACCTGATATGTCTGTTGTACGGGAACTGGATAATATTCAAACAGCTGAGTATTGCTTGATTCAATTGCACAGAATGAAAGAGGATACTAAACACCACCAGCACCTCCAACGACACCACAACCCCAGCATAGGACAAGAACGAGGAGTCGACAATACTTCCAGCCGAACATCATTCAAATCATTTGAGCAAATAAAGACATCAAGTGTCTCGCCTTGATCTTTAGAGCCCATATGCCATATGGTAGACAGAGGTAATCCTTTACATTCCTTTACTGCACCAAGAACTGGGCCATTCTCTGGGCCATCAAGAAAAGATGCAGAGATACTCTGCAGAGGAGCTAGCTGAAGCACAAGAACTGGTGACCGTGAGGCCATCGGACGCGTGGATTGTGCCATATTTGGACCATTTCCCAAAGCCTGTCTTCAGCTATATAACGACCTTATGTGCGATCGAAGGCCGGGCCTGGACACTCTACTTCTCACCCAGATCCTCGAACCATCCTCCTGGCACCCACCCCAACCACCTTCTCAGGAAGTAGTTGGAGCCCTAGGGCCCTAGGGTTCTATCTTTCCTCCAGGAGATGTTGGTGGAGAAGGGTCTTTTGCCTGGAGTCATCAGCAAATATGGCCCCAACCGCCACTCGGCGGAGCTGGGAACTGGTCAAGAGGGGTCTCGTGAGCGCTAGAGCGAGGTGAGAAGACTTTAAGAGTATCAAACGGCATTGACATGGTTCTAGGATACTCAAATGATCATTTGACGTCACCAGGTTTCAAGCATCAAAACCAAGCCATGATCACCTTTATTTCTCTTCTGTTCGTTTCGCCGTGCGTGCTTACTTCTCGGCTTTTCAACCCATGAGAAGGAGCCTCCCATGCCTGGATCAAACCTCATGCCCTGGGACAGCCTTGCCTTCTTTTCTGAGGAAAAGTCACCTTCAACAAGGCTGAGATGGAGGCGAAACTTGGCCAAACATTGCATTTTTACATGACGTCTTTGCGCTTTGGCGTGTGAGAGATAGGGTTGAATCATCTAGGCAAGTGCAAAGTAAACTGGAATCCGCCGCCTCCTTCGTTTGATTCTCCCGATGGGGCCTAAGTATCTAAAGATATGATGCCCATATCTAAGACTGGTGTAAAAGTTGGTGCATGTCATATGTGCAGGGCATTTGTGCCATATATATATTGCCCGTATCTTGCTGCTTCAAGACATTTGAGCTGAAGCTGTTAGTACAAGGACCTTATATGACATAATTGTTCCAGCATGGAACACATCATTTCATTCCATTTCATTCGGCATCCAACGACCGTTTCCCCGTTTACCACCGCCCGCCCCATCCTACACCGTTTCGAACCACCGAGGCTCGCTTTCGACGAGCCTCAAGGCCACCTGTCGCACCTCTTCAAGGGCCGCTTATTCCGCCCCTTGGGCGACCGAGCGGGTTGGACGGGGCGGGTTGGACGCATCGCACACGGAGTCGGACACCCCATTGTTCGGGACCGAAGGTGCTGACAGAGCTGCTGGTGGCTTCTTATGGTTTTTGAGGGGTCGCCCTTTGGGGGGCAAGGTGTTGATGTCATGATGGGTGGCCTTTTGTTCCCAAAAAACAAGCGAGCTTTGACTGTAGCAGTAGAGCAACCTGTATGCAGCCTGAGCTGAGATGACGCCGACTAATAGTGCCCTGCTTAAGCTTGGATGCACTTGGTTCCTTCAAGGACTGGGGTACAAAACTCCTAAACCCTATGGGTTTTGTAGATGGTCTTAGGAAGGTCAAGGCCCTCATGCCAGCTCAGAGGGAGGGCTTGATGGTTTTGTCCAGGCACCCTGGTATACCACCTAGAGGGCAGTACAGGTACGACTACATTAGCAAGATACATATCGGTGATTGACTTTATTTAGACCCACCTGTGGAATCTTGGGTTGCGTGGGACACTGGATCTAACATTTACAGATTTGCACACCCAAGTCACCCAGGTTTGCATTTTGGGGAGGCCAACTTGGAACCATTTGGGTCCGAAGGAAGCAGAGTGATCGGGCCAACTGAAGGTGTACATATTGGCAAATGGATCGTTGCTGGGCATATTCAGAATGTGTTTCCGGGACGGAGGACGCTACAAATGTTCAGAGCGAATTCCATAGCCACCTCCTGATGGCCTTGCAGCGCTGGCACCAGTTGCAATCAAACAGGATCAAGTAACTAATTCCAAGGTCCCAAGTTCTGGAGTCAATGTCGATCCAAATTCCATAGTCAACTGGATCAATCCATGTGAACATGGCAATCCGTCCGGCTTTTCGCATGAACAAACCAGTAAATCCACAAATCCACATCATATATATATATAGAGAGAGAGAGAGAGTTGACATAGTTGTTGACATACCGTATGTGTTTTCCTCAATGTTGTGTTTGCGCTGTTTTTCAGTGTGTAAGAACGTTTTTATGATCGTTCTTGTGACCACGCAGAGTGAACTGAGAAGAGATCGATCCAGAGTGTTTAGTCACGTCTGTCCTCGGTGATCCCTTGGCACCCAGACGTTTGGACTCCCCTACCACCCAGTCAGTGGATAACCTGCAAAACCATTGTTTGGGGGATTGGTTTCCCCACTAAACAAGACTGATTAGGTGGAACTGAGGGAGGCTGAGGGAGTGGTTAACCTTTCTTTTCCAGGGAGACTGAGGGAGTCAATTCCAACCCGACTGACTTGTTTTGCCGCCTTCTTCCCGAGGAAGAATGTGTGGTCACTGACGTGTCGGTGCATCCCGTTGAGCAGGCGGACCAAACGGATGGAACAAACACACCGGACGCAGTCGCAAGAGGAGTGCAGCGTTTGTGAGGGTCAATTTGGTGGGCGGGCTGGAAAAAACTGAAATGACCAAAGTTGATGAGAGGTGGAGCCACTAGGGGACACGCGCCCGTCCGTCTCTTGAAGGGAACAAGCCGCTTGTCCTCAGATGTTCTTGTGACACAACTCATGCTTTGAGCAGAACACTGACCACTCAGCAGAACAGCTTGTTGAGGACCTGCTCAATAAATATTGCTGGGCTTCCTTCTTTCTGATATTGATGGAAGATTATGGAAGAACTCTGAGCAGGTCCTCACTGGGATATGATATGCTGGGCCACTGCACAAACTCTCCCCATCTCGATGCTCCACTCGGGCCCCTTGTTTTTTTGGCGGGTGTACCTTTTCCTTTGGGTCAGCGTGCGCACTTGCGGAGGAGCTGATGTTTGTGCGCTTCGATCGACATATTCCTGGAAAGATGTACCTGGGTCATCAACAGACAATGGCAGACTGAGTGTGGAGTGGACAAGATTTATCCCTGAATGTTCCCAAGGAGGAGGCAATGCAAATCAACCACCAGAATGGAATCCGATGCAAGATGTGTTCCTTGTTGATCGATCCACTCATCAAGGCCTCATTTTGGTGGGACGACGGGGCCCGGGTGAGTGCTAGGAGGCTCCAGTCAGAGCTTCGTTTCGGCACTCGGCACAACTGGAAAGCATGGTCCGACCCGAAAGAGCCAGGAATATGCCACCCAAATCATACAGTACATTGAACCCATTTGCATGATTACCAGGAACAAACAGGTGCCCAAGTTGTAAGTGTACTTTGCGGAACATGTTACCATGGATACATCAGTTTTACTGCAAGGCATGTAAATGCAGCTGACATACAAACTTAAGTAACTTATGTGCAGTGAATCTGATTGATCTACAAATTTGTAATTGATAACATATTACATATTACATATGTTTTGTTGTTCGACAAATCCAATGCACTTGTTTCTCTTGTTTCGTTCTTTGCTCGGCCCCAAAACACACCGCCGCAATTCTCTCCAGCGGCTCCACCGAGGAGTGTGGTACCCATCCCCGTGTCCATCAGCGGACTTTGGGGCTGCCCAGGCTATCGTTGCTTGGAGGTGGTTAGACCCTCTTTCGGTTTGGACCGGGAAGTGGACAGCAGAGCCCAGGCTGGGGATTCACCCAGGCTGGAAGTGGCTAGTCCATCTTTACTTCGAGGGTATCGCCGAGGAGTGTGGCTTAGACCCTCTGAATCCCTTTGACTGCCAACCCCACCTCCGGTCTCGAAAGGGAAGCATGGCCTGCAGTCTGGACCCCCCAGCCCTGGACGTTGCCACAGGCGTCAAGACCTGGAGTCGACCAGAACACGAGCCCACCCCCAATAAGGACACCTCGGTCCCATTTTTAGATAGGGGGTCCCTGGTCCAAAATAGGGTCACCTGGGAACAGCTTCAAAACCAAAAAGTCACCCAGGATTTTTTTAATATACAGTAAAATTTGTTGTTAAACTCGTATCAAAAAATCCAAAAAAAACTCCAGATGAAAGGGTCTTCTTTTTCCCGTACAAACACCTTTATTAGAATAGTGATTCTTCATTCGACTAACAACTAAAGCTTTCGAATGGTGATGTCGCTGTGCCATGCGGTTTTGTGTGACCTTGGTGGAAAGTTCGTTTACGTGAGTCCGTGCCAGTGGGAGAAGGAAGACCTGCTGGTGTAAACACGGCGTGTCGTGGTGGATAGACAGGGTGGACAGAGGTGGGCAGTTACGGCTGTGTTTGGAACCTAATTAAAAGATTCATCCAAAATCGGCCATGTTGGTAGTTTAGTAGCGGCGTTAAAGGGCGGTAGTTTGAAAACAAATATAAGCCGAAATTGATCGAAATTGAGGAGGATCCGACATGACTTTTTAATTGGGGTCGGGCTTTTAATAGGCACTCGGGATTAGAGGCGATGATAGGCCGGAGACTGCAGTGAACTTGAAACATCCCTTGATTCGTTCAGTTGATCAACCCAAGGACTTTGCGCAGGTCTGGTGAGTCTGGTGTACAGCGTCCCTAGGTAGGGCTCCAGCACATCCGCAAAGCCAAGTTTTTGCCGAGCGTACGTAGGGCCGCGCGCCCAAATAAAGGATTCCAAAGAAGATCGTGTTTGGCAATCCAGCGGTAATCGATATAGAAGCAAGCATCGGTTGACATACTGTTGGGCCATCCCATTGCCCAGGCAAGGGCGGACACGTGGATGTGATGCTACCCACCGAGCCTTGGAGTTGTCCCACTGGGCGAGGAAGGAAGGGATGATGAGGGAGGAGTCTTCGGGCTCCCAGTCCCACGACGAATGGGACTGGCATATTCATATGATCAGTTGGGGTGCTTGAAAAGGGGTCAACTGATCAGCGTATATATATATATGCATATTGCAGTCCCATGCAATGTTTGGGGGGGCCCTGGTGCCTTTAGCTTTACACGATGCAGTGATGTTTTCGCGCTTAGGTCCACTCCATTCATTGATGGAGAAATGCTTGGAGCAAGGAACCCACAACCTGTCCTCGAAGCGAACCTGGGCCCCTGGCAAACCGTGATTCTTCACCGTTCGTTCCGTTGGGAATCCCTTCTCGGTCCTTGACGGTTGAAGAAGCTTCAACTGAAGGGTAGGAATAGATTCAAGACCTTCACCCACTCCAAGGCCTTCAGGTCTGGTGATTCAAGGCCTTCAGGTCTGGTGAAGGTCCCGCTCGATCCATTTCGGGGCTTAACCACCCCATGGAGCTCGGTGGCTCGGGAGGAACTCGCGACGACCAGCGGTCAGAGGGTGAAGACACGTTCGCCGTCCGAAGGAGTAGATAGAAGGTCAAGCACACAGACAAAGGATGTGTTTTGAGATGTTTTGTGTGTATTTGTTTGATTGTATATGCCAGGATGTTGTATTATAATGTATTATACACCAGGATGTTATGATATGTTGTGATATGCTGTCATATTCTCCAGGATGCTAAATTATATACTGTACACCCAAGGTGAGTGACGTTTCTATCAATGTGCTCTCAGCCGGGGCAGCGGAGGTTTTGTGCGAAGTGGTTGGCGAGCAGATTCCTCCGCCGCTGGTGGTGGCACCATGGCTATATGACTCACATCACTGCCTTTCCACGGAGTCTACATTCGTAGCAAGGGTATCTCTTTACAGCCTTGCTTGAATTGCTTTAATAATAGAGGGGATACCTACGGTTCGTGTACATAGGTACTCTCCCTGGAACTAACATGGAAATGCATGGCATGGCCCCTTGGAAGACCATTTTCCTCTACAATCAGAGGGTTTTCCACTTCCATGTTACCTCCAGGGAGTGTAATATTGTACCTATATGATCCTATATGGACGCCTCTATGTTTCTCAAAATCGGACATCACTGATCCGTACTTCATGTAAAGCTGTTATTAATGCCGTTTTGGTTGTCCAAAAGGTCACTGTTCTCCACTGGTGAGGATCTACTACATGTTTCAGAAGCTGGTGGGTGAGGTTTAAGCCTCGTAAGGGTGTAGTTAGGTGCACACCTGGGACGTGCCAGGCTTCTAGTTTAGCAAGAAAAAACTGCTGCTTAACATGTTATCAACTGGTGATCTCATTTACTAGCCCTTCAGGTTCCCACAAGTGAACATCCAAGTGCTTTAAAGATTCAGTAGGTTTGTACAGGGTTGGAGTAAAGCCACCTACGCCAACAAAACCATGAACAAGCGAGCAAGCTACATTGTGAGCATCGTCCCATGAAGTATGTAGATCCCCACCAACAGGATAAGAGAAAACCACATGATTTACACATTCCAGGTTTGGTTGGACTTCTTGGCACATTTGCTGGTTTTTTTGGTCGAGTCCTTCGTGTGCCTACTCCACCTGTTCACCCAGGGTTCTGAAGGAGATTCTGCTTGAAACAGTTTGGCATGTTGGGAGGCCCAGCCTCTTGCAAAGGCTGCATCCAACTGTATTGTCAGATGCCTTGTACTGGGTACCGAGTTCCAACTTCGAACGATGTGAGCTTCAAAAAAGAACACTTGTCGCCGTCGGCGTCCAAGAACTCCCCCCAAGGATGTGAGCAACTTGCACTTGGAGGAGCCGCGCCCTCGGACGCCCTCGGATCTGGGGAAGCCTCGGACTCACTCACAGGGAGGGCCTCATCTTGAAGTGCTGTTCCTTTCCGCGGGTACAGGGGTTGATTGGTTGATTCAAGCTTGGGGCTGAAAAAGGCCCGAGAAGCTTTTTGTGGCGTTATTGTTCTTCAGGCGTGAGAGAGATGCCACTAGATTTGCATCCAAGTATTTTCCACAAAGAGAAAGGTGTTTTGGAAATGATTACGGGACTTGTTGATTTGTTCATGTGCGATATGTCAATATTATATATGTGTGGCATGTTCAAATTTATGCGCATATACTGTATGTACTTCTGTTACTTTTGTGAGGATGAAAACAGCTACTCAGTCCCGTAGAACGATCCCCTGTGTTGGGGCTTCTTGAGTGGGTCACTCGAACTTTTCTTCGTTCCACCGAGGCCCTTTGGGAAGATCACCTTGCGTGACATGCTTCCGCTGCTGCCGAAGGATGGCACGGTGCGCTTCGCGCGAGAGTACAGTGCCTTCGGCGGAGCAGAGCGGACGTAAGCAGGGCAGGGTGGAACTCAATGGAACTTGTCTTTTCTGACTGGTGCTTAGTAAAGAATGAGGGAATGGATCCTATGGTATCTATAGTGAGGGGTCATTCTCTCATTCCCTACTAAGCACCAGTCAGTTTCTTAAGGCCGTAATTCAAAGGAAGCCGCCGGGGTCTTCTGCAGAGATGGGAAGCTGGCAATGAAGCTTCTATATACGTGTTGTAGAGAGGAAGACACTACAGCTGCAGGTGCAAGTTCCTTCTTGTACTTTTGATTTCCTTGATTTCTTACTGTCGTTGGTGGACAAGGTCGGTGGAGAATGGGAATGGCGTTGGTTGGAAAAAGAAACACGTTGGAGCCTTTGGCAAGCTTGTGAGTTGCAAAGACACTTGAACGTGGGGCCGGTGAAGTCTACATGATTTGAGACAACCACTAAGATTGTCAGTTCAGATTGAACTGCGCTCGCTGTGGTTTTGGATAGTTTGATTGCCCTTTTCAGTGACTGATGATGCACCTTGAATGTTTAGATAGGTTTTGCTGAAGGTTTGGGTGCTGCTCAACCGGAAAAATGTCTCGAGGAACATTGTCCCCAGGAGCCAGACTTCGTTGACAGTGTCGGTGACAGTATCGGTGATGATGCTGATGATGATGATGACCCACAGTTTATTTAGGTTATGATGCTGTTCAATGCGTTAATACTGACAACAACAAATTCGTTTCTGTTCCGCTGTTCCGCCACGCCTTGCCGATCGCAACCAAGGCATGGATGAGGAGGTCATCACGTGTACCTCGATTGAAGAGAACGGCCACCGACGAACGGCCACGGAACGAGCGATTTCCAGGAACTGAAGAAACAAACATGCAGATCAGTTGACAACAATCACCCTACTGTACAGTACAAGGGAAATATGCCATACATGGAGTAGGGTGATAAAATGGAGTACTGTACAGTAGGGTGATGGCATACCACTCTGATGGCATACATGGAGTGTTTGGAATATGATTCACCACTTTCAGATGAGACTCCTCTTTGCTTGTCCATTGGCGTGACTACCCTGGTCTGTCAGGGTAGCTAGAGTTTAGAAGGTAGATGCAGCAGGTCAGTCCTTTCTTTCTGAGGATGCAATAGAAATGACTTGTGTTGCGTGTGTTGTGGGCAGCTGAGGGCCTAGCAGATGTTATAGCCCACTAAGACTATCCTCCTTCTCCAAGAACAAGTTGACTACAATACACCGTACTCCAAAAACGACATGGTTAACAAACATCAAGATGGCGTGGCTGTAGACTCGCATGTGCTTGGTGTTTGTTGTCATAAGCTTGTTTTGCTCCCACAAGTGGATATATATATATATATATCGGAGTTTGACCAAGAACGGTCGCCAAGCGGCTGTTGTGGTCAGAGACTGGGGAGTTCAGCAAAACCATGACAAATGCTTGGTTGATTGTTTTTGATGCTGATAGGGTAGAAGCATGAGCTTATCAGTTTTTGGCTCTGTGGACTAGAGGGGTTTTGCTTTGGGTCACTGAAGAGTAGCCAGACCTCCTTCCTGGTGCTCATGACGAAATCACCAACAATGCCCGCCAGAACCGGAGTTTGGTGGCATTGGATGTTAAACTGGGAGTCCTTCCCTCATTCCCTGCTGAGCACCAAAACACTTGGAGTAGTTCGTAGTTCGATGTGGCCCTTGGTGGAAGCTGTCGGCCAGAGAGGAAGGAGTCGTGCGGCTTAGGCTACGATCCCAAAGCCTTGGGCGAAGTGCCCTTGCCTCACGACTGGCAAGAGCCCTGGCAGCCAGCATTGAGAACGAGCAATGATTTGCCCCACCCTAGCGGTGGGGAATCTCACAAATTGAGGTATAATTAGCCAGATCTCATGTGAGGAAATTTGATGTTGACAACACCCCCCCCCCAAAAGAATTGCCATGTTTCAATTAAGGTCTGGAAATACTACGGAATACTTACTCTCCACCATTGTTCACGTGTTTCCGCAAGCTGGTCATGTTCCGTCACCATCTCCAGCCCTCATCACCGTCTCCCGAAGTCGACGTCCTTCCAAAGCACCGGCCCTCTTTGCTTTCCATCCCCCAAAGAACATGGAGATTACTATAGATCACTTATATGTTGTGTGTGTTTTTGTTGTTTTTTCCCTAAGAATTCCGGGTCCGAAGCAACACATCTATTTGCTTCAGGTCCAAAGCCCTTGCGCACTGGAGGGCCCGCCGGATTCGCTGGAACATCAGCCAACCCCCCCAAAATGAACCACCAGAGATCACTGACCGCACGTTCCACGCGGACCGCTTGTGCTTCGCCTGCTTGTGCTTCGGTGTCCTCGGTGTCCTCGGCGTCTTGAGGATCCCAACTTCGATCATCGCGGTGGGCGCTACCACTTGACCTTCACCGGTTTCTGGCCCAAGCAGTAGCTCAGCCCACTGAGCTGGCGAGACCGCTCCTTTTGGTTTCGTGTTTCTGTTTTGGGGGAAAGCACCTTTCGGAGTTGGGCTGAACACAAGATGACGTCTTGTTTGGTGCATGCGTGTATGTATGAAATTGTATGACTATTTATTATGATATTTGAGGTTTTGTGTCTTTTTCTAGGCATTGGGGTTTTGTCGAAATCAGCTCGATGTGGCGAGAAGCGGGTCTCAATGGCTCGAGCAGGGGGGCCGGAAGTGGATCAAGGGATCGATCAGATGCAGATTTCTTAACCAGCATGATGACTCATGATGACTGTTGATCCCAAAGATAGAAGGGTTATGTTATAAATGTGTGTGTGAGGACACGTGAGGTGATTTCTGTATTTTATAGTTGGCAGCATGATGTGTTTTTGGGCAGGGAGAACTCACTGTTTCCCTCCGACGCCACCGTCAACGGAGGGTTAGTCCTTTACCGCGACATACTGGGGGAGTAGCTGATTCCAGCCTGAAATCATCAACAAACACCGTTTGAACAGCGTTTGAACAGCAGGCAATGGTTTTGTTACTCTGAATCATCGGAATTGTGTGGAATTGTCGAAGCAAACAAAGAAACACCATGGCCATGTTTGCACGAGTATGAGAGGTTCTCCACTTCGACACGCGGCAATCGACACGGTCGTGTGTCGGATGCTTGGACCGAGCATCTCTACCTGGACAGTAGATGATCACGAGGTCATTTGTTGTGACAGTCAGAAGAAACATTATAAATACAATAAATGTGCATAATTATATATATCAGAGGGGCTTGCAAAAATGACTCTCACTTTTTTTGACTCTCAGTTTTCTTCTTTCTGACGCTAATGATATTGAT